AAATAAAATTATATCTTTTATAATAAAAAGGAAATTTAGGTTTTATATGTTGTCTCACGAATAAAATTTAAATGCCTATTTTTATTTGTTTTTTAAAAATCCCTACAAAATACACAATTTAAAAGTATTATCTGAAATTTGTGCTGTTGATTATATTAATAAAGAGGGCGTTTTGAAATTATTTATAATTTATTAAGTATACGTTTTAATAGTCGTTTAAAGATTAAAATTACAATTAATGAATTACAACCTATAAATTCTATTATTAAAATATATAGAGCTGCAAATTGGTGTGAAAGAGAGGTTTGGGATATGTTTGGTATTTTTTTTTTAAATCATCCAGATTTAAGAAGAATTTTAACTGATTATGGTTTTGAAGGACATCCTTTACGTAAAGATTTCCCTTTAAGTGGTTTTTTAGAAGTTTTTTATAATGAATTAAAAAAAAGAGTTGTTTATGAACCTATTAATTTATCACAACAATATAGAGTATTTGAATTTAATAATCCTTGGGATAAAAAAATAAATATATAATATCTTATTTATTAAATTTATTAATTATTTTCGTTTTTAGGTAATTTTTCATTTCATATTATGAGATGGAACAAAAAATCATTATTTGCAGTTATTAATAATCATTTAATAGATTATCCTACTCCTATTAATTTAAATTATTTTTTTGGATTCGGTTCGTTAGCCGGTATTATGTTAGTAGTACAAATTTTAACTGGTATTTTTTTAGCAATGCATTATACACCACATATCGATTTAGCTTTTAATAGTGTTGAACATATTATGAGAGATGTTAATAATGGTTGGTTAATTAGATATACACATGCAAATGGAGCTTCTTTTTTTTTTATTGTAGTATACATACATATTTTTAGAGGTTTATATTATGGTTCTTATATAACACCGAGAGAAGCTATATGGTGCTCAGGTGTAATTATTTTTATTTTAATGATGGCTACTGCTTTTATGGGTTATGTTTTACCTTGGGGACAAATGGTACTCGCCCACGGAGTTATGGGAACTCCATGAAGATCAGCAGCTGTCCCACATCCTGGACCAGCGTGATCTTCGTGTGAGGTTTGCCCACTTGATCAGCAAGCGTATGCTGCCAAGGGACATCCTGAAGCGCGCGGCTTCTAGCGCTCACGATGAGCGCGGGTACGGTATGTATTCATCATCCGTACCCCGTTCGGGCAAGAAGCCCCGGACTACTTATGAAGCTGCCGCCGCTTCTGTTCCCAGATTGCGACAGCCTTCGGGCAGTCAATCAGGAGCCGTTCAATCGGCTCCCACGAGTTCTCGGAGTGGGCATAACCCCTCCACTTCACGAGGAGCTGTCGCTTCCCGCGACACCGTTGCTCCTGGAGGATCCGCTCCACGTGGAAGTGGACTTCTCCATTCCGGTCAAGCAGGGGCGGAGGTGCCCTCGTACGAGTACGAGTACTCGGCGCCTCCCGAGAGCCACTCTCGTTCGAGTGCTCCGACTGCGGGTCCGACACGGGACCCTGAGGTTGACCGCCTTCGTCAACGTCTCCTCGTGCTTGAGATTGCACTTGGCCTTGGGACTGGCGGTAATGCTGCCGCCCAGGCCGGGAATCAGGGCGAGCTCGCTCGTCTTGCGGGTCGCCTGGACCTGGTGGAGCGAGAGGTCGCGAGCCTGCACCTGCGGGTGGATCGCCGGGCCTCTTCGTCCGATCTGGACGAGGCCTTTCGCATGATCCGACGGATCGAGGCTTTGTTGCCACGTCCGGAGCCGCCTGCGGCACACTCCCAGACGTACGCGTATGGTGCGTACCCGGCGTACTCAGCGTACTCGGCGTATGGCGCCGGGGTCCGTTCGTATGGAGCCCCTCCGGCGTACGGTCTTGACCGCAGCCTTGCCGTCCCGACCGAGGCTTGGGTGCCTGCTCCGACGCCCTCGTCGACGACTGTGACCGGCCCTCGCTTCGAGGAGCTGGGTCAAGGGGGGTCTGCGAGTCAGCAACCCCCTGCGGGTCAAAGTACCGCTTAAGACGTCCGACATAGAACGTCGGGTGCGTCGTCATTGACTTTGGAAGGTCGATGGTGTACGACGCACCATGTCTGGCCAGGACTGCAAAAGGTCCGATGAAGCGGTACTTCAGCTTGTTGCTGCCGACAGAGCTAACAGTGTCTAGAGGTAGGTTCCTCGTGTCTAGTAACACTAAGTCACCAATCTCAAATATACTTAAGTTTCCTCTTCCTTGTTTGTCCGAGTACTCCTTTTGTTTATCTTGGGCCGCTGTCATGGCATCGCGGACCCTGCTGACAATGTTCAGCTTGGTATCCATAAAGGATTCCACCTGTTTCCGCAGCGAAACTGGCCTCACATCCGAGACCTGGGAGGAAAGGGCTTTCCGAGCCTCTCCCCCACTTAGAATAGAGGAGTCAGTGTTTCCTCGAAGAGTGAGAGGCACTCTGGGGTGGCGGAAGCCGTTCAAGTAGAACGGCGTGAACCCCGTGGACGCGTGCACCGCGTTGTTGAGCGCAAACTCAACAACTGGAAGCTGCGTCGACCACGTACGTGGCGCTGCCGCGCACACACTGCGCAGAGTGTCCTCGAGCACTCGATTGACGCGCTCTGTTTGGCCGTCTGTCTGCGGATGATCCGCAGTGGACATCTGCAGACGAGTTCCCAGTAAAGGGAACAGCGTTTTCCAAAACGCAGCAGTGAACCGCGGGTCTCGGTCCGAGACAATCGTCTCCGGGAGACCGTGATAGCGGAACACGCCATCGACGAACAACCTTGCGGTTTGTTCGCCCGTCACAGTGACGGGAACTGGA